TCTCGTGCATCACTGCAAGGTGTATACAAGTCCTACGAGAAGCGTCACGTGACTTCATTTCAGCTCCAGATTCCAGGAGCAGCTCAGCAGTTTTCGTCCTACCTCGTTTCGCTGCCAAAACGAACGCAGTACGATTCTCGTTGTCCTTGGCTTCGATGTCCGCTCGATTGTTTAGCAAATATTTCACTGTATCTACACGGTCAAATTCCGCGGCTCTGAAGATGAAAAATAATTTATTTTTTTCTGATAAATTCACTTGACTAAACTGCAAGTTCAATGAATAGGCAGGTTCTCCTAGACCACAGTGGTCCTTCTTGTCCTTCTTCGTGTGAGGAACAAAAAAACAAACAAACAAACAAACAAAGAAAAAGAGCCGGAAGAAAGTTGGGGGAAAAAGGTGCGAGCGGCTTGCGCCCTAATAGTCTACAGGGAGGGTCTGGATGGAGGAACTGAAAATTTCAGTTACCAGCTTAATTTTTGCCCACGTCTTAGCTATCAGCTTAAAAAGTTTCAGCTATTTTCCTAGCTACAGAATCTCACTTCAAATCTGTGAAGCCTGTTTTCACAACGACATAAGCATAACGCTAGTAAGGACGCTCACAACACAAGCACGTAGGCATGCGCAGAATGAATCATTGCCTTATTTTTGGTTCCATACCATACTCCTCATTACAGTAAAACAAGATGGCGGATAATGCTTATGCCTTTACTTACAGCAGCTCGTTCTCACTTGACATAAGCATAAACAAGAACGCAAGACGAACACAAACGTTTGTTCTGCTTATGCTTGTGCTTTCACTTGTGTTGTACGCGTCCTCATTCCCGCGTTATTTTGCTTATGCTTGTGTTGTGCGCGTCCTCACTGCCGTCACCGTTATTCTTAGGCGTGTGCTTGTTCTCATGTCCTAGCGAAAACCAGGCTTTAAACTCCATCGACACCACTCAACACAGCCCATTCTTTTCTGCTCGTTTCTGTTCTCTTCTGAGTTAATAAACAAATAGCTACAAAAATAAATCGACATTCCGAAGACAGTAGGGTAGGACGGATTCCGCAATAGACTGGAATTGAACTTCAACAGAGTCGACGTTAAAAGTCTTATTTAAAGTCACTTGACCATCTTTAGGAGAGTTCCCGCAGGAACGAGAACAAATATATATCTCACAAATATATTAGTAAGATTCTGTCACCTTAGAAGTGGAGTCCTCTGCAGCTCGTCCCTGCAATCAACTGGTGCACCGTGAGACATCAGCAACTCAACCACGTCCACGTGTCCGTAGGCAGCCGCAAGATGCAAGGGCGTGTGTCGGCCACAGTGTGTCTTCCCATCCACCAAGTCAGTTCCCTGGCTCAGCAGAAGCTCTGCAATTTCCTTGTAACCTTTATGACATGCCAAATGGAGGGCGGTGTTTTCTTCAAAATCGGGAGCGTCGATGAAGTATGAGGCATTCTCGAATTCAAGGGATGCTGGAACGACACGAAGAAGCAAAGATACTTTAGTGAAGCTGAGGGAAGAGCTTGATGTGACCTACACTACTACGCGCCTGTACATGGCATCTTATCAGCGTTTCTTATTGGATGTCGGAATTAACAACTATAGAGAGTGCAGAGGAATCTAGAAAATACCCTTCTTGAACCAACCTTCCTTGATTAAAAGCTGTACGACATCTTTGTTTCCGTGCAAGGCAGCCAGATGCAACGGACTTTTCTCTTCCACGGTCCGCGCGCGAATATCTGCTCTGTGCTCCAAGAACAATTCGCACAGCTCGAGACTGCCGTGCGCGCAAGCCAAATGGAACGGTGTCATACCACTGTTATCTGGACAGTTAACAGATGATAGACTATTACTGAGCATAAGCGTGGACGTTTCTACACAGCCGTGACGAGCTGCGAAATGAAGCGGCGTAGCACCGTCAGCGTCTTTCAAAGACGGGTCTGCGTTGTACTCCATCAGTGTTTTTACAGCCTCAGAACTGTTGTAGCTGAAAGAAGAAAAGTAATGCAGTAAATCAATGTTATCAACGAAACCTCGATTGGGAATCAGTTGCTTTGTCATTTCTTTCGGGTATTACTAAAAACTGGATCATTGGATAATGCAATTCAAAAGTATTCATTGGCTTAACCATCATGTTATATGAGCCATGATACCATGCTCTACAAAAATATGGTAAGCGTATGCGTACATTTTGCGGGGGTTTTTGTTATTATGTTTGTTTTCTATATTTTGAGGCGTTTTAATTATTCCACTCATGCTTGAGATGATTATAGCCATCTCGGCACAACGTGCCTCATTGGCTATCGAGGTACCCACCATCTCATATCCAGCGCGCGCTCGCGGAAAAATTGTTAAATAAATCGTCGATCAGTGAGCAATCAGAAAGTAATTGATATATCGTAGGGCGCAAATTTTTCAGCCATGGATTTGTCATTGATTCCATTAATTAGACACTGATGTCACTGATCATTGATATCGTTGATTACTCATCGGTACAATGTTGTGGTTATAATACGCATCAATAACTTCTACAAGAGAAGAACCGTTCAGGACATGCACTAACATTTACAACAGGAAAGTTAGCGATTTAAAAGAACAGATACTATAAATTCGTACACGTTGTGCAGCATAACAAAAGAAGAACAAAAGAGGAGTAATCGACATGTTTTTAAAAGTTGAAATTAACTAGGAATTTCAATGCGACAGTGAGTGCTTTTGTTGAAAGTAATGGTAACATATGAAGACTAGGTCCCGTTCGTTCTCCGTTCCTTTT